CCAGAGGAGGGACAGTGGTTTGGACATGTCCAGAGGAGGGACAGTGGGTATATTGGTAGAAGGATGTTAGAAATGCAGCTGCCAGGAAAAAGACAATGAGGAGACATATGGATGCAGTTAGAGAGGACATGGAGTGAGGACATCGGACACAGAGGACAGAGTGAGATGGAGGAGGACTCGCTGTGGAGACATCTGAAGAGGGAAAAGCCGAAAGAAGAAGAAGAAGCCCATATAACGGTAAAATCAGCCCAAACAAACCAACAGCAGAACCTTTAGTACGAGCCGAACTGAACATCAAGTTTAATCGTCTTAGAAAATATCAGAAACACTATTTTAACTTGTAAAACTTTGTGGAAATGATGATCAAATAAAACCGGATGGTTTTTTTAGGGAATCAGTCAGACTTCCTCCTGACACATTAGCCTGCAGCTAACAGACGTTAGCCTCTCGCTGCAGCTGTAACATCTTCCTGTTGCGTTCAATTTTAATTTAAAATAAAGATATATTCTCATTCTGGTACTGGAGTGTACACGCACCGATGTTTTCTGGACGTGTCCCCGCTGTGTGATCGTCTTGCTGTGCCGTTCATTCGCCACTTTCATCCGCTGCACCGCCGACATGTTTCCGCTATAACGGTCAGGACCGGGACGGACGGAGGAGCCGGGCAGAACCGGGTCAGACGGAAGGGAACGGGGGTTCGGGTCGGGCTGGTACCGGAGAACACCGTCCCACGGGAGGAGAATCTCAGGTGGACCCGTTTCCTTCTATCACCTCGTCAGTCTCCGTCTGACAGTAAGCTAACCGCTAACTCTCCTCCTTCTTCTTCTTCTTCTTCTTCTTCTTCTTCTTCTTCTTCTTCTGTGATTTTTATTGGCGGTTGGCATCTATCTTACGGTGCATTTACCGCCACCTACTGGACTGGAGTGTGGTCTTCAGGTACGTCAGAGAAAATGTAACTCCTTTCAACAATGTGAATAAATTCATATCCTAACCCTCTCTTATGTACCTGTATGTGAGTTTATGCATGCCTCTGTATACTCATAAATTTAATACACAATTCTAAATACGATTTATTAATCCTGTGTTATTTAAAAACCTAAATAATTGTTTTTTAACATAGTTTGACTTGTTTTCTAATAGATTGGTCATAGCCAGTCCTATATTCTTTCTGCTTAACTTTAACAGCTGACGTTCCTCTGAATATTTCTCACACTTTAGCAGAACATGCTCCACTGTTTCCATCTGACTACAATGATCGCAGAACCATTTTCATGCTTTCTTATTTGTAAGAGAGAACTATTAATCCCAGAATGCCCTATTCCAAGTCTTGTCAGAATTACTTCCTCCTTTCGCCCTCCGTTCAAACCCTTTTTATCCCTCACATTCTTGTTCATTCATGTCTTTTGTTATCATTGTTATCCCATTGCTCCTGCCAGCTTTTAAGAATTTATTTTTGTATAATAGATTTTCCTTCACTTTTACTCAATGGAATATTTATATGAACAATTTCTGATTTCAACGCCTGTTTTGCCAGAATATCCACTTCCTCATTACCTTCTTTACCTACGTGAGCAGGAATCCAAACAAATCGGATAAAGTATCTCTTATTACGTAAATGTACTAATATTTGGTGTATTCTTACTAACAAATCCATTCTGCAAGATTTACCAGATTTTATACTTGATAATGCTGCTTGACTATCTGACGCTATCATAAATTGATTTCCACCCCAATATCATGATCAAGCAACCACTCCAGGGCTAATATAACTGATGATAGTTCCACTGTAAAAACAGCTAAATGATCAGCTGTTCTCCTCTTAAGCAATACTTTATAGTGTGGGATATTCATTGCTGCTCCAGTCTTACCACTTTTTGGATCTTTAGATCCATCTGTATATATTATTATGTTGTCTTTATACCTTTTAAAGTGATTATTAACTACCGCCCATTCTGGAGTTTTTCCTTAGTTAATGACTGAAGTAATGATTCTTTGTGTGTTGTATTCACTGCAGTGCAGCAGTACACGTGTCTCTGGATGGCTGCAGTGTGTGCAGCTCCTGTTGGATGTTTTCCTGTTTTATGTGGAGTATAGTTGAGACCTGAGTGTCCTATTCTGAGCCGACTGAGGACATTTTCTACGTTTCTATTCCGTTTTGTTGTCCTTCCTGACCCAATGTGTTTTTGTGTGCTGTGTAAATGTCTTCCTGTTTCCTGTAGATCCCAGTGCTCTTGCCATCCTGTTTGTTATATTTATTGATGAATGGTTTGATGTCTGATTTGCAGTGGGACTTGTAGTTCTATGGACTTTCTCTTGATTGCTTGTTTAGCCAGCGTGTCTGCCGTTTCATTTCCCTCCACAGTGACACGTGCTGGAACCCAAAGAAATTGAATTTTTGTGCCTTTAATTTATATTCTATACATTGTAATAAAAATTTAATTGATGATATCTTTCCGGATTGATTTGCCTGTTGCAATACTACTGAGTGATGAAATGCTGTGAGATGCAATAACAATGTTTCTCCTCTATCCACTGCAACGCCAACAATATTACTAAGAGTTCTGTTGAGTAAACTGATATCTGATCTGATGCTCTCTTTTTATACAGATGTCCTTGGGATGTGAACTGCTGAACCTGCCCTCCCTGTTTCAGGATCCTTAGATCCATCTGTAAATAAAATAATATCATCAGTGAAATGTGCTTCAGAATAGTTTTGGACAATGCTCCACACCGGGCGTTGTTCTGGTTTCTCTTTTAGTTTCTGATGTAAACTAAGATTTACTTTAGGTAATGAAAATAACCACGGAGGAATGGATGATAGTGGGAGAGTAGGGCAGTACTGAAACCCGCTAACCCTAGTCACGTGACAGAGGAGAGGCGGAGCTAAAGCAGCTCGCTGTCGCCCTCCAGCGGTCAGAAGGAGAACAACGATTTTATTTTTTTGTTGGGAAAAACACTAAAAGCATGAAATGTACAATAAATATAACATTGTTATTTATGTCTGCTCTCAGTTTATTATTATGTAATAATTTAAATGTGATTATTTATTAACACTGATCAATAAATAACTTCAGCCCTTGTTTTAGAGTTTGTGACGTTACGGTCAACAACTTGAAACAGCTTCATTAAACATTTATATCCACAGTTATATGACAATAAAACTCACAAGCTTTACTCTACAAGTCAGAACTCACAGGTGATTTTTATTAAGTGAACGAAAGTGAAACTGGTTAAATCAGGTGGACACTTTATTTACATGAATTTAATCTACTGCAAGAAATTTGATTCATTTTAAAATCATTAAAGTTTCTTCAAATCACAAGAAGCAGCAGGAGAGACGTTAATGCAGCTGCACCCGTCAACACGCACACGCACATGCACGCACGCACGCACGCACACACACACATTCCTGCTGGCTGGAGTAAAGCCAGGGGTCAAAGGTCAGACTGGACAGTCTTCGTTTCTACAGCAGGTTCCTCAGTAACAACAGGAAGTCTGATCCTGGAGGTCAGAGGTCACAAGGTTCAAGGAACAACCTCGCACTCTGTGAGGTCACCATGAGCTGATCTGAGGATACCGCCATCTTTATTTAGCTCCGCCTACTGAATACGGCGTGCAGTGGTTTGTGGGATTGTTCGGGGGCAACCGACAGCGAAGTCAAAGATGGACAGATCATCAACTTTAGAGCTTGGAGTGTTGTGCAGCTTAAAGAGCTTTTCTTGGTTTGTGATGGACCTGTTTCTAATGTGACACATGACGTTCTGTCAGGAGCTGTTCTGAGCTCGTGAAGTCCGGACTGAGGTCCAACAGAACCGGCCTGTTTACAATCAGGCCTACCGGAGCACAAACGTCTTTTTTCGCCTCACATCACATTTGACATAAACATTAAATGGTCAGGCGGCATGGTGGATCAGTGGGTAGAGCTGCTGCCTCTCAGCAAGAAGGTTGCCAGATCAAATCCCGGCCCTAGGGCCTTTCTGGGTGGAGTTTGCATGTTCTCTCTGTGCTGCGTGGGTTTTCTCCAGGTGCTCCGGTTTCCTCCCACAGACCAAAAACATGCATGTTAGACTGATGGTAACTCTAAATTGTCCCTAGGTGTCTCTGTGATGGACTGCAGACCTGTCCAGATGTCCCTGGGATGGACTGAGACCGGTCCAGGGTGTCCCCAAACAGGACCACAATGCTTTGAGCTAAACAAAGATGGCGGTATCTGGGACACGGCGAATAGTAACCACACCTTTAACAGCCTAGGCCGCTAATGGACCCGATCCGGTCCAGCTTCATCCCGAAGCATCCTCTCCCCCCGAACATGGACTTCCTGCTCCGCCTCCCAGTCTTGGTCTGCCGCTGCAGAAAGTCCAGTAGGAGTTGAGGCACCGCCCCCTGCCTGTCGACCAATCCGCTGGAGTCGTTCTGCCTCAGGGTCCATCGTTCAGAAGGAGGCGTGGCCGTCGGCTCAACTGCAGAGGCCTCTGTGATGTCATCGGGAGTGGGCGGGGCCATGATGAGAGCAGCGAGGCGAGAGCCGAAGAGAGATTGTAGAACCTGTGGGGTCAGATCAGGTCAGGTGATTACCTCTGATTTACTCTGATTACTTTGATTTATTCTGATTACTTTGATTCCTGTTGAATGAACTGGTGTGTACTTCAGGTGCCTCAAATTAAAAACGTAAATGTGAGTATCTCCTAGGACCTCATCTACCACAGTCCTCAGATTTCACACTGAAAGTTGGTGTAGGGACAAAAAGAGGAAACAGGGTGTGTTCAAATATTCAGATTTATCAAACCGTGCACGTTTCTGCTACAGCTGATGACCGTGAGCTGAGGCCCCGCCCCCTGACACGCCTCCACTGAAACATGTAAATAGCTGCAGGTATGTCCTGCAGGTAGGACAGTGTCTCTGCACGTTCTAAATGATGTCCAGATGCAGCAGCACGAGAACTGGAGTCAGACCTGAACCGGACCACATGTGGGTCATCAACAACTTCCCTCACCTGTCAATCAATCATTTCTTGATGAAGATGATCAATACGATGATGACGATGATGATGATGGTGATGAT